TTCCCATATTTGCTTTCTACAACCAATTCTCTGTATAACTTTTCATGAGTGATGTACCCAAATATTTGGATGCTAATATCTAAACTGAATTGTTAAATTTATTCACCTAAATTTGGATTATTTAAGATTATGTACTATATGTATCTTATGATTTTTAAATCAAACTTTGTATTTGTGGATAATCTAAGCACTATACCCAGATGTACAGACACTCTTTCCTTAATCTGTGTATTATATAATTTTAACATTAGGTTTAATAACATTTTTAAATCTCTTTTTCGAGCTCTGTGTAAGCCTGAAAGCTTGACTCTTTCACCAACAGAAGCTTGTCCAATAAAAGATATTACCTCACCCACCTTGTCTCTCTAACCCATATTTGCACATTTGTTTCAGATGTAAACTTCTATGGGTTAACCTGTTTGCTCAGGTTACTTAATTCCTTGATAATGTATCAGAGAGGATAACAATCACTTTTTTATATGTGTCACAGAACCTCCATCCACTTTGCTGCAAGGATAATGTCTGATTTGGACATGATTTGGACAAACTAATGTACAGTTTAGTAGCTATTTTTCAGACTGAAAGAGTTCAACTTTTTTTTATTTCTAAATCAACTTTAACAAAACAAAAAACCAAAAATCTTCGGAGGAGTCCCTGGCTCAGGGATTGTCAACAGGATAAACTGGTACAATTGTTATACAACGTTATTAACCAATGACATGTTGCAGTATCGTAACATATTTAAATGCTGTTAATTTGTTGTCACCAGAAACTGGGATTTTACAGTGCTTTGTAGCAGTCTAGACAGTATCATGTTTCAAAGTGTCTAACAAGGCTTTCTAGCATAGGTGTCTATACGTAGTTAGCACAATGTGGTTACTGATTTTGCATACAGAAGGTAGCTCTATTATAATACAAATAATAAATAATAATTCTCACCACGTTCATGTAGTCATCCAAGAGATTGCTCTTCCCATGGGGTCATTACTATGGCCCCTCTACACTGTGTAACTACTGACTGCACAGCAGATTTCCCACAGGATGAAAACACATGTGCATGAAAGTGCCTGTACTTTCCATTAATGTTAGAGGAAGGTGCATACACTAAGGAAAATTGATGTCAGCTGGCCAAAGCCTGAAGTTTCAAAAAAAAAAAAATAATGAAAACTTTTCTGCATTTTTCTACCAGCAACGAAATTAACTTTTTTTGTACAGCCTGGTTACACTGAACAATGGAAAATGTCACCAAGCAAATCCTTTGTCTTTGACAGAATGTGGTCAATTTTTCTTGAGGCATGGAGGAAGAAATGCATCAGTACCACACTGCTGTTTTCCGCATGTTCAAGATATAGTTTCCCATTCTCCTTAATGAAAAAAACAAACAAACAAAAAACTGAACAGCCTTGCCTTCATCCAAAATGGCTTGCATGGCTGAAAAGATATCAATAATGGTATTTAAAGATACAGGCAACAAATTGCTAGCACACAATTCAGAAAATAAATTACATAAATAAACCTTATTTTGAGGAAGAACTACCACCTCTGGCACTACAGAAATTGTTTATTTGAAAGATTGGTACTATTGGTACACACAAGAAAAGTAAGCTAGGTTACATTAACTCAGAAGAAACACCCACCCATCCATCCTCCTTATAGTATGGGAAGTCCAGCTTCACAAAACTGTTATTAAAATTCACCGGCTCGCTCACACTTATATTGAGAATAATCAAGTAAAAATACTCTTCTGATGTATTACTCACCCAACCCGAAACAAACACAGTGTTGCTCACCTTGACAGAGTTTTAAGGAAGGTTGTTGTAGTCAAATTCAGTCACTAGATTTTAAGGCCAGTAAGGACCATTAGATCTCCTGTGCTCTCCTGTATAAACATAGGTCTTGGATTTCACCCAGTTAATCCTGTATTGAACCCAATAACTTATGTTCCAGAAATCATCCAATCTTGGTTTGAAGACATCAAGAGATAGAGAATCCACAATTTCCCTTGGTAGTTTGTTTCAATGGTTCATCCCCTATTAAAAATGTGTGCCTTATTTCTAATTTGCATTTGTCTGGCTTTAACTTCCAGCCATTAGTTCTTGTTATGCTCTTTTCTTCTAGATTAGAGCCCTTTAGTACCTGGTATTTTCTCCCTGTGAAGGTACTTTATACATTGTAATCAAGTCACCACTTGATCTTCTTTTTGACAAGCTGAACAATTTGAGCTCTTTAAATCCCTCATTGATTTCAATCTTAATTTAATATCTGGATATTTTAAAAGAATTAGTCTAATCCTCTATAAAAGACTCAGTGTAGCTGGAAATGATCATATTGCTGTTTTCATATCAAGGCTTATGTAACTCAATCATCACATATTAGTAATTACTCTGAGGAAAACATATGATAAACTGTAATAATTAAGATGTATGCATCCATTTTCAATTTACTATTGATGTCATACAGAGCGAGAGTCACAAGAGTGGTGAGGTAGGAAGAGAAAAGGGACACAGAATTTTAGCTTCCAAGTAAGTAATTTTACTAAGCTGTGTGCAAATCAGGCAAAATGTGTTTAAAAACATTTTTTATACAAAACATTGTCATTTAGATGAACAGTTCAAGTTTACCAGTCTGATTTCCCCCCCCACTTTTCCCCAGATCAAAAAATCCCATGCAGCCAAAATCATCACACCGAGCTACAGAAATGAGGAGCACTTTCAAATTAAGCCATAAGGTTCCCCATTGTGAAAGCCTTACTTACTTTTTGCCAAATTATGCTAAAATGTAATTTTGCTCAATTATTTTTACAATTTCAAGCACTTATCAGTCACCTCTTGAACTAGGTCACAAGTATAGCAGTGAAAAGGAGTTTGATAGCCTCCTACTAATCACCAGGTGACATCTGTTCATACCACAAGTACCTATAAACTGAACAAACACACTTTGGCCCAGATTCTCAAAGGCATTTAGGCACCTAGCTCCCACTGATTCTAAGGATGAGGCGGGCAGCAAAGGTCAGCCAAAAATGGTTTTAAAAAATTGATGTTTGAGTGACAAGTCTCAAAGTCAAGTCTCTAAGGCACATGCAGAACTTTATGATCTGCATCACTTGGAAGGCTTCTTGAGCTGCCAATCTGAAGGTATCTGCCAGTACAGTGTCTTTTTCAGTATCACAACCATCTATACAAAGTCCTCTTTGTTCAGGACTGCCTGGTTCCAAAGCAGCAATAATGTCCAGACATGGCAACCAAATCTGACTCTTCCTTGATGATTCATGTAGACTGTTGCTGTAACGTTACATAAGGATCTGGACACTGTGGCAAGAAAGGTCTTCAAAGCTAAACTGAGCAAACCTTAATTTTAGTTAACCTGGTATTGAACTAAGCAATACCATATTCAACTGCTGGGACATCCATGATGGTGAACCATGGTTCCACTTCCCATACTCCTTACCTGGGGAGGTGGAACAGCTTAGCCTCTCTTGACCTACTACTAGCACCCAAAATAGCCAAGGAATCAGGATAGTTATGTGAAAAGAAAAGGAAAAAGCATTCATAACTCCTGACTGAACAGGAGGATGGGTCCACAGTTTCTTAAGATGCATCCAATCTTTCACCAGGAGAGTCATTCTTGACCACTAGAAATATATCAAAGAACTGGTGCTCTTTTTTCACCCCTTCTACACTGAAGAGAGGATACTCTGAAAGGCTGTCCAGCAACACCTAAAAGGCTTTGGAATTACTGTGGACTAGGGAAGGGATGGACAGAAAGATGCTGGTGTATGTTTTTTGGAGAAGATAATGAAGCTAATTTATGCAACTCAAAACCCAAACTGGATTCAGGGGAAGAAATATAAAGACAATGACTCTGGAACAGTCACAAAGAAGTTTGCAAGTTCTGTGCTAAAGAGAAATCAACTGCTGATGTATTGGCAGAAGTCCCTCAAAAAGAAATGGAAAGTCACAGCTTAATATTGAAAGAATGTCCTTGAAAATCTGAAGGCAGAATAAAAGATCAGACTGGTCTTTAAAAACAAGAATCCAAAGGCCAAATATTGCTGTAGACAACGTGTCTAAGTTTCAACAAGATTAAGAGGACAGAAGCATGTTATAGGTATCCAGGCCTAAGGTTGATTAAAAATCTCCTAGTAAATCCCCAGTATGAGCCTCAGGGATCTCAGATGTTAAACTTCAACACATTCTACTTTGAGGCCTTGCTTACACATAAAACTTGTACCGATTTAACTAAATCAATTTAGAAACTCAGTTAGTTAAAAATCAGTGTCACCTCATTGTGAAGACACTCTTAATTTCATTTAAAGTGCTTTATATGGAGTTAGCTTAAATCAGTAAAGAACTGATGCCTTTGATGTCAACAGCGGTATCAATGATTACCTAAGATAGATGCTAGAGATGCTAAAACCTCAGCACTGGCCATAAGTGTCAAAGGTCGCACTGAAGCCCAGGAGACTATGATATGCTACATCTTTATGTTCTGAGTTGGACAATGTTAGCATAAAGGGTCAAGGAAACCTGAAGCAATGTTAAGCTAGAGTCCAGAGCCTCAAGTGGACAAGGCTTCTGGAAAATTAAATATGTAGACATTTCTCTCTGCCAGCTAGGATGTTAGGAGGTAGCAGAGTGCACTGGCTAGGCAAAGAAGTCACAAGATTCACCCCGGACACTGGAGGTAAAGTGTATATTGATTAACAATGGAAATTATGTCTAGACTAGCAGAATAATTACAAACCTAATGTCTTATGATATATCAAGAAACAAGGGGAAAAACTACCTTGAAGTTAAAAGCAGGGTAAAACGGAACTAATATGCATATCAAATGCATTCTCCAAATCCCAACAACTAACAAAAATGAAACAAAACACACAAAAGATGCCAGTAAAGACAAATAATGACAGATCAAGAGAAAATAGCTCCCTGAGTTTGACAAAGAAAATAAGAGTGAGCGCAGGTCACAAAACAGTTATTTTATACATTCTAGTGCTGCAACATGCTGTGCTTATGAGTGGAAGCACAGTCTGCAATGAATGTAAGGAAATCCAGCACAGATCTTGCAATCCAGAAGAAATGGCTTGTGCTGAATGAACCAAAGAAAACCATTAGTTTAAGGGTACATATTTTTGTACTTGTTGTGCACCAATTTCTGCAACATAAATTGCTCCAGTCTTCACATTTACATCCACAAGGTGTGGTTTAACCTCATCAGCTAGCTGGATTGTGTTTACCACATGGCAATCTCCAATGGATCCTATCGGTGGTGCTGCCAAGACAGACACTCTGTTAATATTCAGCTGAGCTACAATTAGATATTCCTCATTGGTAGTTAATCTAAAAATAAATAAATAAAATTAGAATTACCATATTCTTAGAACACTTCATGTTAACACTGCTATGTGCTTTAAAAATTATTATCCATATCTAGGTGAGCAAAGAGCATTCATGTGCAGAGGAGGCAAACAGTTTTCTAACTTTCTGATTTGGACTTCAAATCTGAGTTTTAGGGTATCCTCATGTATAACTCATGTGTCAGTCACTTAACTTCCAGCTGCTGAAGTTTTCAAATCAAATGAAAACGATTCTAACATTCTCAGTCTCACAGGCTGTAGAGTACACAGAGTAAGCATGCAGGACTTGCTCTACATGCTGCTGCTGCTGCTGCTCTTTGGAGCCACAGATTTTGGTGTAACAGCAAATTAATAGGAATTTACACAAAGGAAGTTAGGGCCTGTGCCTGTAGCCTTTACACATCTGAGTAAGGGGGGCAATATCAAGCTCCTAATCATGTTCCCCAATGCCTATGAAACTCACAGCTTTAAATTAAAATGAAAGTCCCAATCCACCAGATGGATCCACGTAGGCAGATCTTATGAAGTCATATGATTGCAAGGATTTACCTTTACAGATCCTATTGCAGGATCAGGAATCAGGACCTAATTCCACAGCAATTCCACTTGCTAATTCCAGAGCCTGATATCAAGCATTTGCTATCAACTTAAAGTAATGTGGAATCTTACTGGAGAAAAAGTCGCATTCTGTTTCCTTTGAAATGTTTTTGTGGAAATACATAATTACAGTACCTGACAGAAGAGGGACCATCTTCTACGAAACAACTACTCCAGGACCCCAGCCATTCCCCTGTGACTTTATCAAAAACCTGGATTCGTTTGTTTCCTCGGTCAGCAACCCACACCTATTGTACACAGTAAATATAGCTATACTACATCAATACAGTATATACAGCTATAAATAGCTACATCAAAAGCATCAGATGTTCCTTACACATAATGGGCCAAATATAGTGAAGAAAAGAGGGTTACATCAGGAATGAATTTGGCTCAACTTTTACTTTACAAAGTTGACTAACCAGGTATTAATTCTCAGACTCCCCCTCAAAAAAAAAAAAAAAAAAAAAAACTAAAAAACATTAAAAACAAATTAAACAAAATATCAAAAATCACAAATAAGACACACAAACTACTTTACTCTGCCCCAATAGAGATGCCAGTGTCTTATGCTCCCCTCTTTTGTGGGTGCTAGACAGAAATGTTTACCACAAAACACAGGTTTTTCAGTGCTCTTATACATACACATATCCAATACTAAGTATGATGTTACCAAACTAATAATTGCTCTTTATTTTCAGCTATGTGATCTAATTTCATGAGCAGGATCTAGGAGGTTTGCATATGTAAATACATATGTGCGCAATGACAATTTGAAAACTGGCTGGCACAGGGAATTCTGGGGATTGGTTATCTTCAGTATGCCCTTGGGCTAAACAGAAATGTGTGGAGTAGGCTTCTTTCTGTGGACTGTGAATGGGTTGTAATAACACTGTACTATTAAGATTAAGGCATCCCATTTATTGCAATCGCTGACAAGATGAAACTGTTTTGTTATAGACAATCATGTCCATCAAACATTTTAGCTTTCTCAGATTATTGCTGAGGTAAGATTATTGCTGAGGTCAGATTATTGCTCAGGGGCAGAGGTAAGTGACAGTTTGTGTACCTTACCTGTGAATTTCCATACTTTGAATTTTTTAAAAAAAGTTTATATTTTAAAAGTTATTTATGTATTTATTTATCTGAGAAATTAAAGCATTTCTGTAAGACTGTGTGTGACCCAGGGGCTCCCTGCCTGGTGCCAACTGGCAGAGGGCACAGGGGGCACGCATGTTTTTACAGGGATTCCCTAATATATAGTGAAAATTATGTTCTAACGGTCTTGGAGTTAAGGCAGATCACCAGGAGTGGCATACCTCAAAGATATTCCTTTCACACAGGAGGTAACTGATATCTATTTCCCTGTCTGGCCATTGGTGTGTTATATGCCACACACTGTATGCCTATTTGCATACTGAGCCAGGTACAAATTGAGAGATTGAGAAATATACAAGAGAGGAAATTTATAGGAAGAAACAAAGAGTAGGGGTGTGTCCTGTTTATGAATAAAGACAAAGAATTGGTCTGGTATATCTTGGAGTGCTAAGAGACACACTGAATCCTTCATCTTGGAGGCAAACTTACAGTGTGCATGTCTCGTGAAAGAAGGGTCACAGCCACCCTAGCTGTAAAGTGCTGCAAGGAGTTTGGGCGAGCAGTATCCTATCCTACTAGATATGAGGGTATCTTGTCAATTAAGTCTAGGCTCCAGAATGCATAATATGATTTTATTTTAAATACAATCATTTGTTTCCAATATTTCCACTTGCTATTACTTGAATCTCTATGTTTTGTTAAATAAATTTATACCTGATTTCACTATAAACAAATCTAAGTGCTGCGAGTTAAGCAAAGTGGTGATCTGAAGTTAAACTGGCAAGGTGAGTTGTAGTTTCTTGGAAGCAGCAGATTGGTGAATACTGCGAGTGTCCCATGGACAAAAGTCCGGACACTCCAGGGAGACACTAGGAGAGCTCAACGGTTCCAGTGGCCTATCGTTAACCTGTAGAGTGACAGCAGAGCCTGCAAGGCCTAGAGGGGAGTACTTGTGTTGCCTGTGGCCAGTAAGGTTGGAGAGCTGATCCACAGCAGTCCCAGACAAGGCTTCCTCACACTAAGGGCAGGTGGTAGTGTGGTGCCACATAACCCTGTGTTTACCTGAGAAGTGTCACAATGTGTACTCAACCTCTGAGGCACTCAGTTAGAACTAAGTTAGAACCCATCAGAGTTGTATGTCAGGGAATTTTCTTAGTTTTTAAATTGTCCTAAGATTCTCTGAAGGAGCTTTGGAGCCACAACACCAAAGGTTCTCAGAGTCAATGCTCCCACCTTACAGAGCCCATAAGATGCACAGGAACAGGGTAGGGGTGGCAGCATGTTAGGGGGACTTCCTTCTTCTTGCCCCCTTGCAGTGCAAACCCTTTAAAGGTCTGTAGGAGTAGCAGCCTCTTCCTGGGGTCTGTAGGAAGTCCGTGTATATATGTATGTGAAGAGATTATGGCAGCTTGTCAAGACTTCCTCTTACCCTCCCAACCATGTCAAGAAAAAGTTTTCAATGTGAAAAAGTTAAGCATGACTGCTCACGTGATTAAAATTGTATGCAGTAAGCCAGATCTCAATAATCAAAGATGAAAGAATGGCACTTTTTAGGTTGTCTTTCTCCCCCCGCCCCCACAAAGGACATTAAGTACCAAAAATACATATAGACATATACAGGAGAAGGCATAAAAGTTGTCTCTAAAACACTGAAAAATAGCGTTTTAATTCCTTACCCGTCCAACAGAATCCACTGTGACACTGTGAGGAATCTTGAACTGACCAACACCTGTACCATTTTCCCCACGCAGCCATATCTCCTGGAAATCTAATAGTAGAAACCAGAATAAATAATGAAAAAGTAGTTTTCACTTTTATTATGTAGTACAGGGATCGGCAACCTCTGGCACGCGGCTCACCAGGCTAAGCACCCTGGCGGGCCAGGCAGGTTTGTTTACCTGCTGCGTGCGCAGGTTCAGCCGATCGCGGCTCCCACTGGCCACGGTTCACCGTCCCAGGCCAATGCGGGTGGCGGGAAGCGGCGCGGGCCGAGGGCTGTGCTGACCGCTGCTTCCCGCAGCCCCCATTGGCCTGGAGTGGCGAACCGTGGCCAGTGGGAGCCGCGATCGGCTGAACCTGCGGACGCGGCAGGTAAACAAACCGGCCCGGCCCGCTCTGGCAGCCGGGCTTGGGCGGTGATTTAAAGGGCCCGGGGCTCCACACGAATTCGGATATAAGGCGGTAAAGCAGCGGGTCTTGGGTGGCGCTTTAAAGGGCCCGGGGCTCCCCGCTGCTTTACCGCGTTATATCTGAATTCGTGTTATATCGGGTCGCGTTCTATCGGGGTAGAGGTGTATTAAAAACATGACAATCAAGGAGTTAGCTGATTAGCTGGGTATTTTTGCTAAAATGATCAGTAGTGAAATAGGCTCTGATCCAAAGCTCATCAAAATCAATGGGGAGTCTGTCAACTAATTCTAATTGCCATAAGATCAGGCCCACAGTTAGCAATGTTGATGTTTAAAACAACTAGGCCTCTACATTTTCAAATGTCAACTCTTGTGTACGTTCCCTTTTCACATACCTGTGGACAGTTTGAATAATCTGTTGTTCATCCCTCCATCTCCATCCACAATGTAGATCTCCCCTGTTTGTTCCACAAATATTTCTGCTGGCTGATCGAACTGCAGCGGATTTAAACCTGAGCCAGCTTTACCTTGAGTACCCAGGATCTGCATAAGTTTACCAGAAGGACTGTATTGTTTAACTGTGTGCCCATACTCCCCTGTATTAAAGAAAGGCATAGAAATTTCTCAGCAAAACCATGGCTCTTCAACATCAACACAGTAATAACAAGATAAAAATCCCTTGTCATTTTAAGAATGAAACTGAACTAAGAAAACTCTGTAGTAAGAGAATGATTTCAGATTAGCGAGGCATCAAATGTACATGTGCACAGGACTGGAGCTATCAGGATGGGATAGAGGACAAAAATTATGCATTGAGATGCATGCTTTTCTGGCCCTGCTCCTTGATTAAGATCTGGAAATGTTGGCCAAGATTATCAGCTCTGGCAAATGAGCACGTGGCACAACTCATGAGCCTTCAAATTGCTCTACCTTGTACTGGGGAACTGGATCAGTGCACAATTAGGACTCGGGGAGCATGAATCTGGCTTAGTGTTCTTTTGGTACTGTCATAAATATAAAGGGAAGGGTCACAACCTTTATGTATGCAGTAACATAAAATCCCTCCTGGCCAGAGGTACAGAATCACTTACCTGTAAGGGGTTAATCAATTCAATTAACCTAGTTGGCACCTGACCAGAAGGACCAATGGGGAAAGAAGATACTTTCAAATTGGGGGGGGGGGGGGGGGGGAGACGTTTTGTTTGTGCTCTTTGTTTGTTCCCTCTTGGGACAGAGAGAGAGACCAAGCAGGTAAACCAGCTCCTAAAAAGATACCTGAAATGATACATCTAAAATTACAGAAATTGTAAGTAAATGCAAGGACATGCGTTAGATTATCTTTTGTTTTAGCTTGTGAATTTTCCTTATGCTAAGAGGTAGTTTTATTACTGTTTTTTTGTAACTGTGAAATTGAGTCCAGAGGGGAGTCCTCTGTGTTTAAAATTTTTGATTACCCTGTAAAGTTACCTTCCATCCTGATTTTGCAGGTGTGATTCTTTTACTTTTTTCTTTATAATAAAGTTCTTCTTTTAAGAGTTAGTGTGCTAAAAACCAAAGGGTTTGGTCTGTGCTCATTTTGTTAACCTATTGGTTAGTATATTATTCTCAAGCCTCCCCAGGAAAGGGGGTGAAGGGATTTGGGGGTGATATTTTGGGGAAATAGGGACTTTGAGTGATCTTTTTCCTGAATCTTAGTCTAAATCACTTGGTGGTGGCAGCAATACCATCCAAGGATAAGGAAAGGATTTGTGCCTTGGGGAAGTTTTTAACCTAAGCTGGTACTTATAAGCTTACGGGGTCTTTCATGCGGGTCCCCACATTTGTACCCCAGAGTTCAGAGTGGAGAGGGAACCCTGACAATTATCTTATTCAAACAATTAAAATTACTGTTCAAAGGGATACCTGCAAAAAACCTATTTTCTCTGTGGAATAATATTTTTAACATGTTCCCATTATACATACCACTTCCAACATCTGTGATCCATATTGAGGTATCTGTAGGGGTGCTGACTGCAAAGATACCATGAGGCATTTCAACTGTGGAATTCCAGGCATGCAGGAAATTTCCTTCATCTGAAAACACTAGTACCTTTGGTACATTAGCCCCTCTCTGAAGGTGTACAAAAATAGTCAATTGAAAAAAGGATCTTATCAAGCAAATAATCTCACCTTTGACAATTCTGTTTAAATGTTAGTAATTTTTATGTCAAAAACTTTTACAGACATTAATTAATAATTCTGACAACAACCTTTGTGACGTGGGCAAGTACTGCTAACCCCATTTTACAGCTGGCGAAAGACACAGAAAGGTTAAGTTTGCAACTGTGTTCATTAATTTTGGGACACTTACGGCCTGATTTTCAGAGGTGCTGAGCCTGCTGCTCTCACTGTCTTCATTTTGAATTGTGATTGCACACCATCTCTGAAAAAAACATCATGCCCTAGGTCTCCCAAGATGGGCACACAACATTTTTAATTGTAGTTAATTGTCCAGGATTGCAGGTGCCATGGCTGTGTTTTATAAATGAAAATCTCACCACTTTTGTTTGCATTGCTGAAGAGAGAGGGTCTCAACCAGAATCTAGATACAAACATGTAGGAATGACTAGTACAGTTAGTAAAATTCTATTATAACACTTGCTTGGGATGGATGATTTTCTGTCTATCCATCCTAGGTACTGATATGGCCACTGTGACAGATATGGTAATTTCCTGCAATATCCTTGAAACTCTTATGTATCTATTATTGTGGGCCGGGGCTGTATGTAATTTCTTTATGAGAGAGATGTGACAAATATTGCAACCCCATGTGTATCTTTGGGGTCCACTGTTTAAATGAATGTTTTATTGTGTTCCACTACAGGGGGGAAGGCTACCACAGCTCCTACAGGAACTAAAAACAGTGGATGGTGATTAAGGCAAGTCAGCCAGGTTGTAATCCCCAAAAGAGGTACCACCTCCTGGGGATGCTTGCGTATACTAGCTCAAACTAGATTTTTCACAGACCAACAGACAAAGAAATGACTTTGGGATAAATAGCCTGAGTTTAAACTGACTTGGGCCTTCTTTCTGATTTACACAATGTACAGAACCTTCTATCTGGAGGGGTGGGAGTGAGAGGCTAAAAAATCAATGATTTTGTTAAAAAAAAAAAAAAAATTTTCATTTAAATTGGATTATTTTATTTAAATTTTAATACGTTTTTCTTTATAAAAATAAACCTGTTTAAAATTAAATATGAATGTAATACAAAATATGTTAAGACGTAAACTTATTATAATCTCTTAAAACATTTAAATAAAAAATAAATATGCTGAATCCATAAGCCTCTATCAAAACTGAGTTAAAGACTGCATTTCTATATAAAGAAAGAAGCAGGGGGAAAACAGCTAACTTTTGACATCAAGCTTTATAGATAGAGCACAATAGGTCATGTACTGTATTAAGGGCTTGTTTTGTTAAATAAAAATAATTTTGATATGCTGTTTTGTATGTTTAATTAAATTCTAGTTACCATGCTAATGCAGCTTGACACAAATCATGAGAAAAAAGTTAATTATCTAGTGAATAAGCAATATATCATTCACCATCTTCTAACATACTAAAAATGTATAATAAGAATTTGAAAATATTAAGCTATATAATTGCTTAAATAAATGTATATAGTCATAGTGTAACCTCCTAGGTAGTAAAAAGATGTACCAAATCTAGTGTAAAGGCTCTATTTAGTTGTAAATCAACACGTTTTAATGGTTATATCAACCAATGAGAATGCACCTTTCCCTAGAAAATAACTGAAGTAAAAATGGAAAAGTAAATTAAAATCAATCATTTAGATGAGGAGTGGGGAACCTACAGCCTGCCGGCCGGATCTGACCCACTGCTTCATTTCATCCGGCCCTCGGCAAGTGCCCACGCTGTGGGCCGAAAGCCCTGAGCCTCAGCACCCCCTGCAACCCCCTGTGACGCTGGAGCCGCAAGCGCCGGCTTGCCCCGCTGCCGGGGGTTAGCTAGGGTTGCCAGGTTATTAAAAGTCCGGTTGGCTCCGTGCAGCTCCCGGAAGTGGATGGAATGTCCCTGCAGCCCCTAGGCGCTGGAGCAATCAGGGAAGCTCCGTGCGCTGCCCCCGCCCCCAGCTCCCATTGGCTGGGAACCACAACCAGTGGGAACTGCAGGCGTGGGCAGCATGCACTGCGCAGAACTGCCTGGCCGTGTCTCTGCCTAGGGGCCGCAGGGATATGCCGTCCGCTTCTGGGAGCAGCGTGGAGCCAAGGCAGGCAGGGAGCCTGCCTTAGCCCCACTGACTGGGAGCCACTGGGGGTAAGCGCCAGCCAGCCAGAGCCCGCACCCTGAACCCCATCCCCAGATCTCGCATCCCAATCCCCTGCTCCAGGTCGTATTCCCCTCCCACACCCTAAATCCCTCCCAGAACCCATACCTACACTTGCACCCCAACCCCCTGCCCCAGCCCTGAGTCCCCTCCTGCACCCAAACTCCCTTCCGGAGCCCACACCCTGACCCTCCTCCCACACCCCAACCCCCTGCCCTGAGCCCCCTCCCACACCCAAACTCCCTCCCAGAGCCCACACCCTGAACCACCTCCCAATCCCCTGCCCCAGCCTGGAGCCCCCTCCTGCACTCCAAATGCCTCACCCCCCTCCTGCACCCCAACCCCCTGCCCCAGCCCAGAGCCCCGTCCCACACCCTGAACCCCTCATTTTTGGCCCCACCCCAGCTTGGGGGAAGCCCCGAGCCTCTGTCCCCCGTCCCCCGTGGGGCTGGAGCTGTGAGCACTGGCTCGCCTGGCTGGAGTGGGACACCCCGAGCCTCCGTGTCCTCCATGGGGCTTTATGTGGCCCGCGACTGATTTTTTCTGTGGGTCAGTGGCCCCTGATAGAAAAAAGGTTCCCCACCCCTGATTTAGATTGAGGCTTTCCACATGCTGATTTAAATCAACTCACCTGGGGTGGCCCAATCCTTGCAGAAGAGTTGGAAAGACTAACACCTACCAGAGCCCTTGTTGGAGTTGGGTGTGATCTTTATTAAGCTTTTTAGTATGTGTGTAGGTTCCTTTATTGTTTTTAATATGTTTTGTCTCTAAAATTTTCACCTTAAATATAAGTGTGCTTGGTTAGAAAAAGATTTGTGGTAACTTATAATGGCAAGCAATTACAGCTGTTCATAGCCTGTGAAGACAAAAGCAAATCACAGATGCTGGCCTGTTTAGGCAGTCTGGCTTGCTGGGAATATCACAGTGTACCCAGGGAACTGTGCAGCCTAGGAAACCCCTCCACCCCCGTCAGGAGGGAGAGAGATGTGGGTCTCGGACCAAAAGAGTTGTTGGCTGAGAAGCCATAAACCTAGAATGGTGCCCTTGAGGGACCATGAAGGGGGAACACAGGTGCAATTGCCCTGGACTATGACATATATGGTGGCAGTGTGAATTGCCATAAGTGCTAACAGCAGTGAAAGCAAGTACCATAGAAGGAAAAACCACAGAGTGAAGTCATAGTCTTTTGTGGAAAGGAATAGCGAAAAGAGAGCCAGGCAAAAATGAATTATCCACAGCTGAAGAAAGGTCAGCTGGCTGAGCTATGCACAGACAGGCAGCTCAACACAGAGGACTAAAGACACAGCTAGTAGATTTGCTGTATTTTGATGATGGGAAGAGATATGAAGTCCAGGTTGGTAGGGAACATTCAACTCACTGGCGCAGGGTCCAGCAGGCAGGGGGAATCTTGGAGCCAACACTTTGCAGGGCAGCATGGAAGAGGCTGACAAGAGGCAGCAACTATGTTCTGTCCAGACCGAATCCATCACTACAACTGGGATCGTGGGCAGGTCCACAGGCTGACCAAGACAGGACACAGCTGGAGAAGGACGGACTGCATCTGGAACCCCAGCTGTTTGCAGACAAGGAGCAACAGCACCAGCATGAAAAGTGCCAGTGTCAGCACAAACATGCAGAGAAGGAGAAGTATTGTCAAGATGGAGAGACTGTGCCAGTAGGACCAGGTTCAATAACATCAGCTCAAAAAAGAGAAACTGCACCAGCAGAACCATAGTCTGGTAAGTGGAGCCAGTCACTAGCTACCTGTCCTGGTGAATGGCATTGACTCCAAATTTCTTCCTCGTTTTAGGGAGGAGGATGACATGGATGTATTTCTAAATGCTTCTGAAATGGGATTTGAAGGACTGACTCCTACCAGAGCCCTGGCTGAAGTTGGAAGGTGATCTCTGGTAAGCTTATTAGTTTGTATGTAGGAGCTTTCGTTGTTTTAATATGTTTTCTCTCTAGCGCTTTCACTTTAAGATTAAATGTGCTTGCTTATAAAGGGCTGTGTGGTAACTTCCAACTGCTGGCAATTATGTTGTGCATAATTGCCTTGAGAGAAAGCAAAATGCAGACCTTGCCCTGTTTAGGCAGTCTGGCTTCCTGGGAATATCACAGTGTAGCCAGGGAACTGTGCAACCTGGAAAGCTCCTTGGTCAGGAGGGAGAGATAAGGTCTCTCCCCAAGGGAGTTAATGGCTGAGGAGCTGGGAGCCTAGAAGGGGTGCCCTTAATGGACCATGGAGGTGAATGCAGGTGCAGTTACCCTGAATTGTGACAGCCCCCAACACTGGAGTATCTGAGCACCTCACAGTTTTTGATTTATTAATCCTCACAACATTCCTGTGAGTATTATTATCCTCATTTTACAGATGGGGAAGAGGGGCAGAGAGACTAAGTATCTAGGGATGTAAATACCCTTTACAACTAAGTTTCTAGGGATATAAATACTGTTAAAAACGTGAATCGTTTAAACAATTAAAAAGAAGTCGTTTAAACGGTTAACCGTTTAAGCAGCTGGGGCCCATCTGGCCAGCACGGCTGGGCCCGCTCTGTCCGGGTGCTGCAGCTGGGCTCACTCTGGGCAGGTGGCGCTGCCCCGGGTGGGCGGCGCTGCTCAAGCTGCGCAGCTGGGCCCACTGGACTGGCCGGTGCGGGGCAGCCAGGGTTAATGGTTAAGGCGGTTAACCGGTAAGACTATTCTTACCGGTTAACTTTTTACATCCCTATAAGTATCTTGCCCAAATTCACACAGGATGTTTGTGGCAATGCAGGAATTGAACCCGGGTCTCCCACAGCGGCCATCCTTCTTTTGCGGTTTACTGAGTTGAGGCAGGGATGCAAAAAACAGTAGCAGAAGTGACATATACAGTTGCCTCCGTTCTCCTAGCAGGCTTCCATGTTGTATGCTATCTGGTTTGTATCTTTCCTTGTAGCACTTGCCATTTCAAAACTATTTTTTTTTTAATTTTAAGCCTTTAAAAAACATAAAAGCAACAAGCCCAATATGCAAAGGAAGAACCTTCATATCCAGGACTACTTTAAAGAAATGTATACTATTAATAACCTTAGTCAAATTTACATCGAGAATTTAATACAATAAACTGTTATAATTATCTTAATATAAATGCAAATGGTAACTCCACACAGGAAAAACAATATAATGCTAATAAGGACAAAATTCTAGTCCTATTACTTACTTGTGCAACATAGACCAGATCATGGAGAGGGTCAACAGCAACACAAAATGTTTGCCCAGTGAAATATTCTGGACGTTTAGGCCAGCCTACATCCAGCTTGTAAAGCTGTTGTTCTATCCTCCCAGGGGAGTAAAAAGCAATTGCTCTTAATACCTTAAAAATATAAAAGTAAAAAACCATTAACAGTTAAATTCCATGAAATTCCACTTTCTATAATCCTTCAGCTTTTTATTAGTTATTATTAGTGTGAGATTTTCAAAGACACAAATTTGATGGTTGGGTGTCTAATTTCCATTGAAAGTCAATGGATGTTAGCCATCTAGCTGTTTTTTGGTCCTTTGTAAATCTTCCTTGTTAGAGCCAAGTGAATCAGCACACTTGAAATGTTAAATCAAGTGTACATCCACCAATTACTCAATAACAAATATTATTCTGACATGGGATTGTATCTAAACAGAGTGCAGGGATGCTGTAGAATTACTGAGGCAAAAATACACGATTGTTTCCCAGTTGGGTAGTTCTTGGCACTCAAAATGTGCTGAGCTCTTTCTTAAAACTTTTAAAAACTGCTAAGCTCTTGTAACAATTCTGGATGGTATGTCCACAATAGCCTTCCAGTAGCTGTATCTGATGTGCTGGCTAAACCATGTTGATCAGAATCATGTTCAAGACAATTCACCCCAAGCACCCTGAGCAGTAATATAGTTTTGAATTGGGTAATATGGAAACAAGTCATACCACCTGTGTTTAAAGAGGTTGTGTGAACTGGGTGGTGGCTAGATTTAATTTCCTAAAGCGGTTTCCATTATCAAGGGACCTTCACTGCATAACACCCGTGTGTGTTAATAGGTAGTTGACAGCTCCATCACAAAGCATCCAATGGATCTCAAGACTCTTGCTGCCACAACCACAGAGTTCAACATGACTCCATTCTGCTACAGCCAGCCTGGAATTCTAGTTCTTCAGCTCCCTACAGCTCTCTACAACTTAAGCTAAAGAAGATCTCTAGTGGCTTATTCTAGTAGTAGGCTCCTTATGCTCTTGGTGGTCTTCGCTGAAGGACAACATCATGCTCACTCTCTTGTACATGTAAAACCAGAACGTTACTATAGACGAAAGGATCAGAGACGGGTCATTGGAGATGAAGGGGGTGACAGTAGACAGGATGAGCACACGTGCATTTCAAAGACCACATCCAACCAGGTCTAACACATTTTGCCACCCTCCCAGAAGCCTCCCATACAGACCTTAAGCCTTTCCTTACACACAAGGAGAGCCAAAACTCTTAAGGAAACACTTGATTAGTAGCCCTGCAAGCAACTCAGCCTCCTGGCCACAATATGCAGCTGGCTACTGATCCTGGCAGAGCTGGGAAGGCATCTATGCTTTACCTCACCTCCTCTCTCCAAAGGTAAAATGCTGGATTGTGCAGGGCAAGTGAGCAAAGGCGGGGGGGGGGGAACTTAGTTTAAGGAGAGGACAGAAGAGGGAAAACAAAGTACAGAGAGAATGAGTGTGGCAAAGAGAAAGCAGAAAGAGAGGAATAGGTTGAAACACAGGGAGAGAAGGAATGAGCAGGGAAGTGAAAAAAAGGATAAAAGCCAGAATCCTGTGAACATAGACAGATCAGGAGGGCAAGAAGCATAAAGACAAGAAAAAGAGCAAGGAATATGCAGGGCCCTGGACACTCCATGATTCCATGACAATGGAATCTGCTACAGAATTTATCTCCTTACCATAGAACTGTGCTCCAGAATCTGACATTTATATATATATTATATTTATATATTTATATATTATATATATAAAATGTATGTTCTAGCCCTTACAGTCACGGAGGAAAACTCAAATGTGAGCCAAGCATAAACTGTCTGCATCATCTACCAGCATCTGGAGGGAGCCTGAAACAATAGCTCCGATGGGGTGACTTGTCCCATTCATTTCAATCAGGGCCCACTGGACTCTGCAATTCTATGGCTGCTTAATTTGGCATTCTCCTAATAAAAGTTAGACTTGCAGACACCTGATAGAAAATATAGTAGAGGGAACAAAGAGAGAGAAAATGTTTTCTAAAACCTCACCCTTTACTGTAATATAGCTGGTATTCTTTTTCTTAATCAAGGGAAGAGAGTCAGGGAGAGACACGAGGCTGAAGTTGATTCCTTACTCCCAGTTCCTTATTTGTGGTACCAGCTCCACATTCATGGTTCCCAGTTCCTTATTCAAAGGCCAACATTATTTTAAAATATATCAATGTAAGATGAAATATTTAGAAAAGTCATCAGATTAATGTGACAATGTGATCATTTTAATTACTAATTCCTTATTTATCAAGTAAATAATCAGAGAGCTGGGTTTTCACTGCCCGCATGTGACAAAATAAGTCTTGGATCACCCAAAGTGACATGTCTCCATGACATGTTCTGTTCTGACCCACATGACTGTTCTGAAGGAGCTGGGGGAAGTCACTCCCCAGCCCCAAGTTTTGTTCCTGTGCAATATACTGCCACATGTCACACCCCTACCACACTTCCATATCGTACACAGAGTTTGAATAAGGCAGTGGGTTTTGACAGACTGTATGTGAATAAATGAGTCTAGTGACACATCCCTGTGGCCATCAGACTGTTCTTAAGGAGCTGGGAATCCCACTCGCTGACCCAAAGCTTTGTTGTTGCATAGTATGCTGCAAAATGTCATACCTCCACTCCACTTCCATTTTATAAATGGTGATTGAATAAGGAAACTAGGATTTGACTAAATGTACATGACAAAATGTCATTGAGGGTGACCCGAGACACACCTCCCCATGACTATCAGGCTGTTCTGAAGGAGCTGGGCCATGCCACTCGCCGATCTGAGGATTTGGTCGTGCGTAATGTGCTGCCACATGTCACACCCCCAACCCACTTCCATTTTGTATATGAAGATTGAATAGGGAATCACATTTTGATTGGCTGTACAATGTGTCTCGGGTTATCCCAAGTGACATGTCCCTGTGATCATCAGACTGTTCTGAAGAAGCTGGGACATCCCACTCGCCAACCTGAAGCTTTGTTGTTACACAATATGCTGCCACATGTTACTCCTATTCCACACTGCTTGAATAAGGAGCAGGGATTTGACTGCCTGTATATGACAAAATGTGTCTCAGGTCACTTCAGGTGACATGGCCCAGCGACTGTCAGGATGTTCTGAAGGAGCTGGGATATGCCTCTTGCCGACCACAAGGTTTGTTCTTGGGCTATATGCTCCCCCACCCCTGTTCCATACTGTACATAGTGCTTAAATAAGGAGCTGGGTTTTGACAGACTATACGTGAGATAATTCAATTTGGGTCACCCCAAGTGACATATCTCCACAACTGTCAGACTGTTCTGAAGTAGCTGAGACATGCCAGGGGTTAGACTAGACAACCCTTGTGGTCCCTTTTAACCCAATGGTTCTAGGATTCTATGCCACTTGCCAACCCAAGGATTTGTTCTTCAGCAATATACTGCCACTCGTCTCATCCCCACCCCAGTTCCGTATTGTACATAGTGTGTGTGAATAAGGAGCTGGCTTTTGACTGGTTGTATGGGACAAAATATGTATTGAGTTACCCCAAGTGACAAGTCCCTGCAACAATTATTTCATTATGAAGAGATGAGGATATGCCCCTTCCAGAGGCGAATCTTTATTTCTGGTCTGACAGATATATTGCCCCAATTTTTGTGTGTGTTTTCTCTGTTAGTTAACATACAATATGTAATATTGCATGTAAAAATCAACAGAATCAGTATTCAATGAATTTGCTGCAAATCAGGCCGTAATGTTTTCATAGAAATTATATGATAGTTACAAATGAAGAACTTTGGTTTGTTTTTAGATGAAAAAGGTATAAAAAATTTTTAAATTCTGTTACACACATAAAACCAGTTGTGTTTATTAGAGTTGTGTGTTTTGCTCATTACACAAGAAAAAAGCTTTACTGTTTATACAAATAATATTGATGACTTCTATTGAACTAATCAATATTTGAAACACTGTAAATATTAATACTATATTCAAGTTACATAAAAAGGTACTACAGGAAGGGCAGTTGGCGTATTTTTCTGTGGTAGGGGAACTGCATTTTTGTCTGAATATTCAATAAATGGTATTTGAAAAAGACAAGTCACTACTCTGAAAAACATCCACCAAAATGCATCTGTTGTCTTTCAACTTGCTATCATGCTGAAAATCTCTGCTGGAAATAACCCACGGTAAAATTTTTGAATCTTTCTGTGATCAGACTTAACAATAATGAATAAGATGCATGGGTCACCATTAATGAAATGATGTGTACTCAATAGACGTAATCCATTGCATATGTTCATGTTTACTCTGAAATTGTAAAATAAGTATAGATGTTGCTATTTATTATAATATTTTAATTAATTGAGCAATGGTTGCTGTTGTTAGTGCTGATTATTGGTGACACCTATATTTAAGCATTCCTAAGGATCTGTATGGTCAGACCCCATTTTGCACAGAAAGGACGTTTCTTCATAAATTTCTGCACAGAATTACTGCATAATCTGGTGCTGTCTGCTGCTTTATGGTCTGTAATCCTGACACAACCACCTATTGCGCCAAACATCCACATGGAGGGGGAAACTTTGATAAAGGTGTGCGTGCAGAAAGGCCAGTAACAGGGTTTCATAGATTCTCAAGTATACCTAGACCATCTATAGCGAGGCGGTGGGATACCCCACAGCCCCGCTGAGGGCCGAACCTCCCCTAACACCAACGTGGGCGGAGCCACCGGGTCCGGCGCCCGCCCCTCAGAGGTCACGGCGCCGACCCGGAAGTATAAAAGCCCGCCTGCAGAGCTCAGTGGAGGACAAGCCGGCGGAGAGAGCAGACGGCTGTGGCCGAGCTCCCGCTTGGGAGACAGCCGCAGGCCGCGACCGACCTGCTGACTCACCAGGCCTGCCGAGCCTACCCCTCGCCCGGTACCCCGAGGAGGACTGGCCAAGCCTGCCCCGTTCCAGCTACCCCGAGGAGGAGCCGAGCCTGCCCTTTTCCAGCTACCCCGAGGAGGAGCCGAGCCTGCCCCTTTCCTGCTATCCCGAGGAGCCGAGCATACCCTTCGCTACCTACCCAGAGGAACCGATGCTGGTGTAGAGCACCGAGGACACTAGTCTGGTCCAGGTACCCTACGAGGGGGAGTGTGGAAGTAGCCCGGGGGCAGCCGACCCCCGTCTGGCTGCAGCACTGCCAGAGCATATGTCAGTGTGTTGCGGCCAGGATCCCCACTGACAGCAGCGAGTTTCTGCCGCTGCTAGGGCCCCGGGCTGGGACGCAGTGGAGTGGGAGGGCCTGCGTCCCCCCTGCCACCCACTCCTTGGGTGGCAGATTCCCCCTTTTCCCTGGCCTAGAGAGGCTGGGACCTGTTGCTCACTGACCCAGCCCCTGCTTAAGGGCCTGGGTTCCTGACTGACTATTTGATTGCTGCTCCGCCCTGACCTAGGGCCTGGGCTGCTACAATCCCTTGACTCAGCCCCTGCTTAAGGGCCTAGGTTCCCGAACTATTGGCTCAGCCCCTGTGTGAGGGCCTGAGCTCCAGACTGCATGATTGCTGCCCCGCCCTGACTGAGGGCCCGGGGCTTTTTCTGACCTATTGGCTCAGCCCCTGCTTAAGGGCCTGAGCCCCTAACCGTGTGTTTGCTGTCCCACACTACCGCTGGACCAGGACTGACAGCAGACCAGAGCGAGGCGGTGGGATACCCCACAGCCCCACTGAGGGCCGAACCTCGGCTCAGGCAACGCCCCGGGTCAGGCGCACCAGCTGCTGCTGGGGCAGTCTCCCCACCTCAGCCCCCCAGCAGCAGGAGTTTGGGTGTGGCGGGGCTCAGGGCTGGGGTGAGTGGTGCTTACCTGGAGGGGGGGCTTCCCTCCCTCAGCTCCTAGCTCCATGTGCTGCCTCTACCAGCAGGCACCGCCCCCGCAGCTTCCCAGCCAATCGGAGCTGCAGAACCGGGGCTTGGGGCAGAGCGGAGGCAAGACAGCACATGGAGCTCAGAAGCCGGGTAGGGAGCCTGCCCCAGCCCCGCCAAACCCCACCCCCAACACCCGCAGTGCCCCCCGGGTCACCGCCCCCAGTACCTGCAATGCCCTCCCTCAGCCACCCCCCGCAAAGCACCCGTGGCACCCTCCCACGTTTTAGTCGGGGGTATATAATAAAAGTCATGGACAGGTCATGAGCTGTAAATTTTTGTTTACTGCCCGTGACTTTTACTAAAAATACCAGTGACTAAAATGTAGCCTTACTCAAATTCAATCTGTGATCTGCTAAACCCCCCCAGATCATTTTCAGCAGTACTACCACCTAGCCAGTTATTCCTTATTTTATAGTTATCCATTTGATTTTTCCTTCCTATGTATAGTATTTTGTGTGACAGATATGACAATTTCCTGCAATATCCTTGGGAAACCTTCCTGAATTAAGGTTAAGTATATTTGAGTCCATTGCATTAAATGCAATGGTTATGTATTATTGTGGACTAGGATTGTCTGTACTTCTCTAGGGGAGAGATAGGATGTAAACCTCAGGAAGTGTTAATAATTTCAGAGGAGTATACTGAACAATGGGCCAGACAAGAATGGACAATTGGGGTAGTGTCAAGTGATTTTCCTGAGGATCGCTAGGGGGAGGTGAATGAAAATTTCCCACCTCTGGTTATGCAAAAAAACCAGACTTTTGAAGCTATGCTCTTCAGAGGGGCTCATTGTCTACTGATTACCTGTTCCTGGAATCTGAAGATCAATGAAAGAGTGAACTTTCCTAGCAATTCTGGTTGTGAGCTGAGGTTGTTATGAACTTGTAACCACAGAAAAACCCTTTTGTGGGGTTTGAAGGACTGTCTCCTACCAGAGTCCTTGTTGGAGTTGAGGGTGATCAGTAGTACGCTTATTGGTATGCATGTAGGTTCTTTTGTTGTTTTAATGTTTTCTCTATGATACTTTCACCTTAAGAATAAATGTGCTTGCTTATAAAGGGCTATATGGTAACTTGCAACTGAAGGCAATTATGCTGTTCATAGCCTTCAAAGAGAAAACAAACTGCAGATGCTGGAAATCTCAGTGTAGCTAGGGAACTGTGCACCCCTGGTTAGGAGGGAGAAAAATATGGGTCTCTACTCAAGAGAAGTGACAGCCGAGGAGCCAGGAGCCTAGAGTGGGTTCCCTTGTGGGACCATGGAGGAGGAATACAAATGCAGTTGCCATGAACTGTGACACTTTGAACTTGTCTTTATTTAATTTAATACTGTTGATTTCCAACCAATTCTTGACTTTGTCAAGGTCATTTTGAATTCTGTTCTTTTCCTCCAATACCTTGCAACCTCTCCCACTTTGTGTCATCTGCAAATTTTATAAGCGTACTCTTCACTCCATTAGCTATTTCATTACTGAAAATATTGACTAGTGCCAGACCCCTACAGGACCCCACTAGATACATCCCCCCCAGTTTGACAGCAAACCCTCACTACTGCCATCTCTTATGCCCCCATCCTACTTCATATTGTAAACGGTGCTTGATTAGGGAATTGGATTTTGACTGGCTGTACCTTACGTGAAACTCTTTGCAAAAATTGCAGCCTATTTCACGAGAGATTGTGTTGGGGTGGGGGGAAGGGGTAATGGGCCACAATTTTTTGCACCATAAAAGTTTCAAGTAAGGCAGTTCCATGTCTCAGCTACATTAGAACAGCTTAATGATTGTGGGGACGTGTCACTTAGGGTGACCAAAGACTTATTTTATCACATACAGTCAGTCAAAATCCAGTTCTCTATTCAAGCACTGTTTACAATATGGAAATGGGGTGGGGGCATAACAAGTGGCAGCACACTGCTCAAGAACAAAGCTTCAGGTCAGTGAGTGGCAGTGTAGCCCAGCTCCTTCCAAACATTCAGATGGTTGTGGCAATGTGTCACTTTGGGTGACCTGGGAAAGAGTTTGTCATGCACAGCCAGTCAAACCCACTTCCTTATTCCATCACCATTTACACTATGGACGTGGGATGGGGTGCTATGCAACAGCACACTGCACAGGAACAAAGCTTTGGGGTCAGTGAGTGAGGTGCCCCAGCTCCTTCAGAACAGGCTGACTGTTGCAGGGACACGCCTGTTAGGTGACCTGAGGCTTATATGGTCACACACAGCCAGTCAACACCCAGCTTCTTACTTGATTAATTAGTAAAGTAATGAGTAATTTACATTATTCACATTAAATATAAAAATATATGGAAATATACCTATCTCAGAACTGGAAGGTACCCTGAAAGGTCATTGAGTCCAGCCCCCTGCCTTCACTAGCAGGACCAAGTACTGATTTTGCCCCAGATCCCTAAGTGGCCCCCTCAAGGATTGACCTCACAATCTGGGGTTTAGCAGGCCAATGCTCAAGCCACTGAGCTATTTCCCCCTCCCCCATTAGGTGATATTTCTAAAAACTGACTCTTACACTGATACATTTTAAAATAATGTTGCCCTTTGACTAAGTTAACTAGGAACCACGAACAAGGAGCTTGGAACAGAGAACCAAGTTCAGCTCTTTGGGAGGGCGAGACAGAAAAGGTGGGGGTGGGAGAGGGTTTGGCTTGAAGTATCAGGGGGTAGCCGTGTTAGTCTGTATCTACAAAAACAACAAGGAGTCTGGTGGCACCTTAAAGATTAACAGATTTATTTGGGCATAAGCTTTCGTGGGTAAAAACCTCACTTCTTCAGATGCATAGAGTGAAAGTTACAGATGCAGGCATTATATACTGACACATGGAGAGCAGGGAGTTACTTCGCAAGTGGAGAACCAGTGTTGACAGGGCCAACTCAATCAGGATGGATGTAGTCCACTCCCAATAATAGATGAGAAGGTGTCAATTCCAGAAGAGGAAAAGCTGCTTCTGTAATTTTCACTCTATTCATCCGAAGAAGTGAGGTTTTTACCCACGAAAGCTTATGCCCAAATAAATCTGTTAGTCTTTAAGGTGCCACCAGACTCCTTGTTGGTTTGGCTTGGGAAGAGACAGGGAGGACGGAGCGGGCTCCCCCTTCCTCCAGCAGCCATCTCCTGCCCGCGCCCGTGGCCCAGCCCCCCAGTGCAGCTGTGGCCCAGGGTGGGATGACTGACGCGGAAGATGGGGGGGGGTACGGAGCCAGCAGACACGGGGGGCCCAAGCTCACCCCACCCACCTGTAGGTGGATCCCCCGCCCGCCCGCGGGGCCTAGCGAGCGGGGAGCCCCGCCCCCCTGCCCAGACCCACCTGGGATCCCGAGAGCGCGCAATAGAAAACCAGCAGCGCTACTACCGCGCTGCCCATGGCAACCGCCAGGCCGGGCCTGCCGCGCAGCTTCATGGAGCCCGGACAGCGTCACCGCCGGGGCTCGGTCTCCCCCGCCCCACCCCGGAGCCGCTGGTGGCTCACGTCAGCAGGAGGCCCCACCCCTCAGCGTGCGCGAACCGGGCATGCTATGGCAGGCTCCAGGCAGAGCCACGGCTCCTACTGGTTCCTGTCTGGGAGACTGTAGCTTTGTCACATGACAACAGGAGGCGCATGTCAGTCACGTGACTTGGAGATGGCGAGGTCAGGCCTCCCTCCCAATTTTTTATACCCTGTTGATCTCCTTTGGAGTTGTCCACCTGAGTGCCTGAGCGCAGGAGAACAATGTCCGGTATCCAGGAATTTTTAAACAATCGATACCGGTCCTTTCGGCAGGATGCTAGGAGCATAGTAGCTAGGGTTATGATCGCTGTAACAGAGGGACCATTCCGCCCGGATTCAGGCATTCTACTCAGTCAACTTACTGTTGGGGTTTCTGCCGCATGAGGGGTCCTCCGAGAGATACAGTGGACGTTGGTTGATGATGTCATTGGAGTGCGATTCATGGGCATTGTGGACCCCAGTGGCGAGGAGGAACCTCGTCGCCGATGGTTATTGCTCGTGCAGGGCGCTCTACAGTTCACTTGCGGCGGCGGTCCCGGGGCGCGGTGCGGCGCGGGCTGGGGGTTGGCTGGGCTAGCTCCGGAGCCGGGGCTACTTTGTGCCGGAGCCGCGGCAGCGCTGTGGCTTTTGTTGCTGCTGGTAACAAAGAGCCGGGAGCTTTGCAGGCGATGGGCAGCGGGGGAGCCCGGGGGCTGCCGGGCCTGAGGGCCGCGCGCTGACGGGAGCGGCAAGAGGCTGAGGCAGCTGCACAGCTCTACCGCCCCGTATGCCCGGCGGCACCTGAGCCAGGCGCTGCCCCGCTTCTCACCCCCCCGTTCTGGGGTCCCCTCTCTCCCTGCTCCGCGCCTCCTCTTTCTTCTTCGTCCCCTTTCTCTCCCCGTCCTCACAAAACCATGTAACTCTTCCCCCCTTTAATGTGCCAGCTCCGAGGCAAGGAGCGTTAATCCCCGTCTCCTGCTGAACCGTGCATTGGACCAAGCATTTATATTGTGACTGAAATCCGCACCTCTGTCCAAAAGAGTCGCATCCCCTGCCCTGACCCTTTTTCTTATTGACTGTTTTAAAAGATTTTTTTCATCTCTGTAAAGTGTCGCTTTTCGGTGCTTTTCTTCTACAATAAAAAAGACGCTTCTGCAGTAAAGAGTCTTGCCTGGATGTATTTTTTCTTTAAATAAAAATCTACGTTGGATGAACGAGTAAAGATGGATAAGAAATCATTTGAGACCGTGCTTGATGAAATTAGAAAGGTAACTTATCTTTTTACATGTTTGGTTGTGTAAATGCAAAACACCTTGCTGGAGTACAGTTGGTTAAACACAGTTTGCCTTAATTGTTGTTCCTTCTGGAAGGCAGTAAAAGTCCAATTATTGCCCACTCTTCAAAGAGCAGAATGATATGCTGATAAGACATACTAGTTTTTGCTGAATGTAAACCAAATTTAGTCTAGTTGAGACTCTTTCTTGTGTGGCATGTTTGTTTCCATCTGCATGCCTCATGGCAGAGATTATATCTTGTGAGATTGTGTTGAAACTTGACTAATTCATAAAAGGTTAAAATATAACTGTATAATAGATATTTTTAAAAAGTGGGTTCAACCTTTCTTCATTTGCAGACCCCTAAAAAATTTCAAATGGAGGTGGAAATCTTAGTTTGCAGACCTCCAGGAGTCTGTGGACCACATGTTGAAAACCACTGTTGTATATTGACAGCCTTTTGTGGACCCCTTAGATATAGTCAGCGGACTCCTGAGCTCAGTGCCACAGGTTGAAAATCACTGTTTTAAATTATTTTGTTCTGGACTTGTAAGTAGTATATATTATATTGTATAGTTAAAACATGAGAGTGAAAGACAGAAGATCTGCATTATATTTCTTGCTGTTCTAGAATTACTGTGCAGTGTCTTTCTAGTTACTTAGGCCTTGTCTACACTGCGGGGAGAAATCGATCTAAGTTATGAAACTTCAGCTACATGAATAACGTAGCTGAAGTTGACGTACTTAGATCTACTTACTGCAGGGTCCACACTACGCTATGTTGATAGAAGATGCTCTCCCGTCGACTCCTCTTGCTCTTCTCGTTCAGGTGGAATACAGGAATCGACGGGAGAGCGATCTGCGGTCGATTTAGCGGGGCTTCACTAGACCCGCTAAATCGGCCGCTTATGCATCGATCGCCACATGTGGATCTCCCAGTAAGTGTAGACAAGCCCTCGGTCTCTTGAAACCCTAGGTTTCCTCAGTCTTTACGTAGAACGAGGCATGCTATGGGACTTAGTTCATTCATGTCTATAAAGTGCTGTGAGATTCTTAGATGAAAGGTTTTTATGGAAGTTCAACATATTATAAAGGTTTCAATATTAATGCTATGTTGTGCATTTTGTGCTTTTTAAACAAGTATGTGTAATCCCTCCCTGACTTTTGGTCATGTATGAACAAGTTTTCGAACGCTTTTCATTTGCTCAGAAAACTGAGACTAAATGACAGGCATTTTAATATTATACTGGATCATGCTCTATCAAAACATTTATGTTTGATACTGGCGAACTTTAAATTGCTTAAGTGGACTAGCCTGTTCTATAGCTTGCATTCTCATCCCAGATGTGATGAAGATTTAAGGAACACCAAAATGACCCATTTATTTTAGGTATATTTTAAATTTGCATCACTTTCTTCCTTGACCAGATTTAAGGAATATGTTTTAAAGTTATATTAAGCTAAAAATTCATGGGATAGAAGGTAGTTGGAAAGTTAAATACTGCTACTATTCCATGTGAAATTTGACTAACACTGACATGTATTTGTCCTTATATGTAATACATCTTATTTTTATCTATTTCCCACACTTTATCTTTTTAATATAGATTTGTACATCGTAGGTGTTCAGTTTAGAATTGAGTTGTTTTTAAAGTGGCAGCAACATCCAGTTTCATGTTTAAATACAGTTTTTGATTGCAAGTAAAATTAATTCAGTATCTTAAAAGAGCACCCCTAAAAGTTAATCATACATTGAATTAATTTGTTATCCCATTAGTGAAAGGCCCTGCCTAAACTGGCATTTTTTTTATTTTTTGTTTTTTGTTAATCTTGAAACTACAATTCTTTTAGAGGATATAATGCTTTGAAAAATCAAATTTTACCTAGTGTTAGTGACATTAAATACTTATTATGGGTATGAGGCTAAATCTTCACCAGCAAATATTTTTTTTTATCAATGGTAGAAGAAGAAAGTCATAAAAAGTGCAATTTTAAAAATAGCTTGCTAGTTGGTTAAATTAAATGTGGGTCTCTAATATTTAAAAGTAGGTTAAACATTCACTTGTCTGAAAAACCGCTAGCCTGAAATGGTCTACTGGAATTTTCTGCTGAGCTAACTACTGATGATCGAGTTGCTTAACTTGTTTGCCTCCATTTCCTAATCTGTAAAATGGGATTAACATGTCCCAACATTAGATATGTTGTGAGTCTTAACTAATTATTTGTAAGTGATTTCAGATCCTAGTACTGAATGCACGGTAGAAGTAATTAAGTGGTATATATGTATATGAGAGAGAGACTAAGTATTCAGGGTGAACTTGAAATCTAGTCAACTTTAAAAATGTATCGAAAGTACAGTATCAGATACTGTGTGTCTCCCTGAATTCACATGTAAATTTTTGCAATTTTATTTTATTATTTTAAAAATATGTTCTCTCTGCTTTTCATTATGTGAAAGGTTCATGCCAATGAAAGGAAACCTCAGCTTTCTGTAGTGTTTTAGTTGTCTTATGCTATTTGTAACAATAGTAATTTTTTTTGTCAGCATTAATTTTTCACATAGCCTCCCATTAAATAAAGTTCAGTTTTCTGAGTTATATTTTAGAGATACCAACTGCTTTTTGATTTAATTTAAAATACCTTAAATGCAAGTTTTATTATGCTATTGTTACTCAAACTATTAGCAACTTAGCGCTGAACATGTGAATGAAGGAAAGGTTACCCCTGTTTCTTGTAAGTACTGTACCTACAATCCAAGTTCCTTTCTTGATGAGTAGGCCCATTGACTGACTAGAATCACTTGTGTAAAAATTTTAAGACCAGCTCTGTACCACAATGACAAATAATTCTTGTATCCTTTTATTATGAAACTGCAAATAAATAATTTAAAATGTGATCTGTAATTGAACAGCAACCTATTTTGGCACGAATATCACTTCATTCTTCCCCTGAATATATCCTTTCAATTTCTTTTGTTTTCAAGGGGAGTTACCAATGTGCAGCATTTACTGCTAGTCTAAAGCTGTAACAATATCACTGATATTTTTTTTCTTTTTCCCCAAAGAGTTGTAGCTTTAGAATGCTACTTGAGACCATGCATAATTATGCCAGCTTCCAAGTGCTGGGGTGTAATTAAGGAAACAGTCCAGTGCTTGAGCTGCATCTTGAGTAACTTATTCCTAACTGGAAAAGAACTTGAGCAACTGTGCTATGTGTCTGAGGCTATGTCTACACTACAGCAGCTACAGTGGTGCAACTGCGCCATTGTAGCACTTCTGGTGAAGACGCTCTAAGCTGGTCATCTTAACTCCTGCCTCCGTGAAAGGCAGTAGCTATGTAGGCAGAAGTTCTCCTGCCGGCATAGCACTGTCCATACCAGTGCTAAGGTCGGTATAACTTATATCGGGCAGGAGTGTGGATTATTCAGACCGCTGAGCGACGTAAATTATTCATAGTAATTTGTAGTATAGACATAACCTGAGCCTCTACCTGCAATCTCTGAAAACACAAACTGATGTATTGTTCCTTATGAAACCGTTCAGTCCTTTTAAAGAAGCGATCCTAGTCATTGGCTCACATGACACCAGGCATCATCTTTATGCTGATGACCTGTAGATATAGCTTCGCCACTATCTCCTTCCCTCCAATCATATCTCTTTCCTTGGATGTCTTGTCATCTCCAATTGAATATGCCCAAAACAGAAGTTCTTCATCACTGTCAGCAACATGCTCGCCATTTCTCAGGCCTATAATCTTGGGACTGTTTGACTTCTGC